TTAACTGAACAAATAAAACTTGCTGGATGCTCTGGTAATGGCCGGGCGCTGAGTGCCTGCGGTCTCATTAATATTGGATGAGGGAGGTACGGCCATTGTTTTGGCTGCTCTGTAGGAGTTTGCGTTCCTGAATAATGCAGAAGCGTGAGGGGTGCTTTGTGCTGAGTCCCCCGGAACGGCGAGAGGCCTGTGATGAAAGAAATGGAAGTACACTTGGAAAACCTGCAAAAAAAAAAGAAAACCTGCTGACCGGCTCCTGCCCTCGTTATGTTCCCATAATCTTCTCCTAAGTGCCGCGTTCTGCTGGAAGGGCCGAAATCTGACCAAAGAGGACGAGCGACCGTCCGACCTGAAGAGGAGCTTTCAGTGACGTCACAGATCTGCACAAACACATTCCTCGCAGGGCTCTATAGTCACTAACAATTACATTTATTATCATTAAGAAGCCATCATTGAGCTCCAGTCAGTGACTTTGCCTAGGCTGAGATGATGTCATTAGTCTGCTGCAGGCAGGAGGAAGCATTTCCTCAGTCTCCCCTCCCCCAGTGATCGGTCTGCTGCAGGCAGGAGGAAGCATTTCCTCAGTCTCCCCTCTCCCAGTGATCAGTCTGCTGCAGGCAGGAGAAAGCATTTCCTCAGTCTCCCCTCTCCCAGTGATCAGATTGCAACATTGTACATTTGTATAAAGTCACAAGGTGAGAAGGGCTGATCTGTGTCAGACATTTGTGAACACAGCCAAGAACTGCCCAGGCACTGGGATTTACATGGTTGTGTCATCTCCAAGCTGGTATCACAGTCCAGGAAGTAGACGGTGACCCTGTATGACGCCTGAGCAAAGATGGTGCCGTCCTTCTGTAGAGAAAAGTGGATGAAGGCATTGCCATGGGGAATACTGTAACATGTAATAAATGCCTAGAAGTGTTACAATGACATGTTACTTATCATGCTGCACTTAAAAATGATAAGCTCACTTTACAATTACCCCATCAGCCATAGTTGTCTCTGAAGTAGAAGGTGAGATGAAATCCTCCAACTGTTTTGGTGACAACTGTCAAAGAGGGGATTTCCTCTCACTTCCTGTTGTGCCTGCAGGACAGGAAGTGAAGGTACATTTCCCCTATGGGATACAACCTGCTGAGGGAGAGCGTGTGTGTCAGCAGATATCTCAGGCTGGAGGCAGGAGCCCCTGTAACGTTCTTTTTAAAACAGTTTTGCAATGCGCGCATGTAGTCGGCACGTCTGAAATATGTAAAAGGTGCTGAATTATGGAACACAGCCGTTGGGTCATTACGCGGCTGAACGCCTCCTCGCCATTACCGCCGCGCTGTACATGTTGCCGTTAAATACAGCGACGCCTTTTTTTTTAAAACGCAGCAGCGGCAATTATGGAGCAGCGACGAGCTTCTGACAGCGATTACCCTTTTAGTGAAACGACATATTTGCATTATATCCCTAATGTGATTCCGGCTCCGGCCAGATGAGATCAGCGCGGGAGGAAACCGCCGCAAAACAGGGAAACGCGTCACTTTCTTATGGCTTTACATGTAATTATCTTATGTGAGTAAACTGCGGGAAGAACGGGAGATGTAGAAGAAGAAGATTCCAGAATGATTTGTTTCCTTCTTTCTGGTTTACAGAGGAAACAGAGGAAAGAAATGTAAAAAATAAAAGTTTAATATTAAAGGAGAAGTATGAAGGGGGGGGAGGGGGGGTGCTTTTCACTCACCTCATAGTTCTAGCCGACCTGTAACAATAAGACTGTCACAGGTCGGCTGAGTAGATCGGGAGGTGAGCGAACACATACCGGCGTTCGCTCACCTCTTGATCCTGTCACGGCTCCCTGCCGTGACAGGGGAGGGGCTGGATTCCCCCCTCCCCGCTCCGACATGCCATCGCTGACTGGCGTAACGGACAGGGGAGGGGGCAGGTACAGCTGGC